CAGAGTTTGTTTGCATTGCTGCCAAGGTTTGTAGGACTTACTGCCAAGGTCCTTATCTCTTTGTTGATTTGGCTTTTAGCCACCAAGTCTCTGGACTTATTAAAAAACATTCTCATTTACGTTTGTCTCGGTTTTCGTTCCTGGACGGAGGAGGGGGGTCAGAAGATATGGGTACGCTGTGTATATACGTACAATGACAATAAATTAATTAATATGAAGGTCGGTTATATTAGAAAATCTGTAAATGCACATATGACATTATTGTTTGACATCAACCAGCCCATTCTGCACAAAGTGACTGAAATATCTCTAGTAAGCCGCACTTACTTCTAAAGATTTAAGGAAGGGCAACGACTCAATGAAATTTTCGTACATTCTTCTCTTTTTCGCGTTGTTTTTCACAATGATTCTTCGAAATGTTACTCTGTCCTAAAAAAAATGGGAAAGATACATAAATAATAGTTAAAAAGTGAGATATTCACGACAGCGCAAGCAGTGTTTTCATTGGCAGAGAATGGTACATGCTCTGGTGCGGTTAGTCCAGAACCTGATGTGTATTTGCACAAGTGTGTAAGCCTAACCATGTTCAGTGGACTGTTTTAATTCTCAGCTGAGTGTCAGGCTCTAAAAATCAAGATACGGTGGTACCTTGGTACTCGACGTTCATCATTTCCAGGAGGCATGAGGAGTATCAAAAACGATGAGTAACAAACATATTTTTCCAGTTAAGGAATAATGTTGTGAGTCACAAGGCACCCAGCAACAACAGCTTCTGGCTTGTGCGTTGAATACTAAACAAATGATGAGTACTGGGGCAAAAGTTTCATGTCAAAATGCATTCAGTAGCAAATCTGAGGAGTTTCAAAGCAATTGAGTAAGAAGCTATCCCTGTAGAGACTCTCTAAGTTTGTTCCTTTGTTGTTCCTCACCTATAGACAGAATCTCGCAAAGCCAAAGCAGAATGCTTGCACTATAAAGCATATACTCTGGGAACTATAAGGGAGGAGCTATTCTCATCCTCGTTCTCCCACACAAGCTCTCTAATATCTGGAGCTGACTGCACACAAGCTGCAATTAGCTCCAGATATTAACAGATCCAATTTTTTTTTGGGGGGGGGCATCTGCAAGAGTGTCCAAAAAAAAACCTCACCCCAAAATGGCAAGCACAATTTAGGGTTGAAACTTCACCCTTTTTAAGCTCTTGATTCTTGTTGTGGCCCGCTGGTGGCAGACTCTGACAGTGAGGAGGTTGGGGAGAAAGATGGGCCAGTCCTGGAGTCTGGGAGAGGCTCTGATGAGGGCTCTGTGTCAGGGCCGTCTGACGGTTATCAGATGCCTTTGTAGTCGAGAGTTCAGTGGGGCAGAAAGACAGCTGGAGCCTGTTCCCCAATGTGCTCATGGAGTAAAGTTACAGGTGGACGATGAATGGCCCCTCCCAGAGGAAATAAAAGAGGAGCGAAATGGGAGTGAAGCATGGTTGTGTTATGGCCCGCCAGCAGTCAGTGGAGTTGGCAGCGGATTCAGACAGTGAGGAAGTTGGGGAGGAACATGGGCCAGGAGTCCTGGAGTCTGGGGAAGGCTCTGATGAGGGCTCTGTGTCGGAGGCAGAGAGGGGGCCAGAGCCATAGGCCAGTTATCAGCTGCCTTCGGAGTCAGACATGAGTGAGGCAGAAGAACAGCTGGAGCCTGTTCCCCAATGTGCTCATGGAGTAAAGTTACAGGTGGACGATGAATGGCCCCTCCCAGGGGAAATGAAAGAGGAGCGAAAGGGGAGTGGAGTTTGCAGGAGACAATGAATTCGCTCAATTGGTTGGTGACTCTCTGAGACTCCTTGCCAAGAACAGCATCGTGATTTGAAGATCTAGGACTAGCAACTCTCCAAGTCAGATAAGGTCTGTGACTGTAAATTCACCCTTGAAAGACTTTGCTGGATGTGACTGAGAGGAATTCACAGTCAGTTAATAAAAAGGGATTTTGTCGG